TTATATATTATACTTTCTGGAGGGTAGTTAGGTAGTATGGAAAAAAGCCTTCATCAAGTTTTTCATATGAAAAAAATTATTGAAAATGATTTAAAGCCTAACATTGTTTTCCCCAATATTACAGAAATTTTCTGGGTATGTGTTCTGCAATTTTATAATGACCCACCCATATCGTGTATTTGTGTATTCACGGAAACAATCACTAACCTGTCTTCAGTTTTCAATACGTACTATGTAGTCTCTGTTATACTTATAGGTATCTTATTATGTAGAATTTTAAATTCGGTTTGCAGGACATACATTTTTAATCATACATAAATAATAAAAAAAAAGATAGGTGATATAATTTATTATTATAACTATAGGACAAAATATAATATATTATATGATTCAAGTTATTTTAGTTAATAATTATTCTAAAATAATTAATTATATAAAATATTTATTTTATCATTAATATTTGACATTAACGAGAATACAAACATTATAAACCTTTTAAGAGTTAAGAGAATGTTACAAGCATACATTTACATCCGTGCATGCGTTAAGGTATTTGCAAATTTGAGTTCAAAAGAATCAATCCTATGATGTTAGCTTCATATCAATGAAGTGAATCTATTATCAAACTTAAAATTAAGAAAGTTATCTATATGTTTAAACTAGGGTGACCATACATCCAGTGTTATATAGGATTGTCCTTTATTTCAACTTTAAGTCTTGTCGTCCTGACAATCCTCTTTCACACATATTTTGAAATTAGAAAAATCTTGGTATGCTATAATCAGATTTCAGACTGATAGGAAAATCTATATGAATGAAGCAATGTCATGTTTTGATCATTGTAAAATCAAAAACTTGAAGGTTTATTTAAATTCTAAAGTATTCCCCTACGAAGATTTTCAAAGCGACTTTACTAAGAACAAGATAGCTACATTATTTACCGCGCACATACCGAGTTCCAGAAATCCTACTATGGTCATGATAATGTTACTCCTCTATGACTCGATCAGATTTCAAAAAACTATCGCCGATTATAGTTGTGGTCTGTGAATATGACTATATGAGCAGACAGAAAGATAATTTAAAAACGTCAACTGTCGATCTAAGGATTGAGATTGAGATCGAATAAGCGTTTCAGCCTCCACTTCGGTGGCATATTGCTTAATATTTCATGACCAAATTATAACTTATAATCTATTTAATGGCGAAGTAAGAACAATGTAAATATTTATTGTAAAACTTAATATTACCTATTTCGATGAATAAAAAATAATTTATATATTATATATATCATGTCTTTATTTCACATAAATTATTAATACAACTGTACTTAGAAGGGTGGATACCAAACTATATGACGAGTGGGAAGGGGGCATATACGAACACGTAAGTGATAGACATTAAACATGGATGGAAGGGGAGGGGCCGGGTATATACATGATAGCATACAGCTAAAGCTGGGCAGGGTAGCCGGATTCACCAGCTTTGCGGGGGATCCAGAACATACTAAAACATACTATAATAAACTGATGTAGATCGGCGATGCTTGTTGGGTTCTGGAGATCCACTGGCAACTCACTGGACGGCGACACGACGTAACTTATGATCAGCGGTTATTATGGATTTGTTTTATTAAAATGGATCGTACTGTTAATAACATTACCTGACCCATTGGAATTTTTCGTTATATTAGAATGTACTTTTTATTTCGGAATATTTTTTCCATAGGCATGAATGCAAGATATAATTTAAGAATTTGGGAACACCCTTCAATAAGGGCTAATATAATGCTGACATATTTTTTATCATCGGTTTCTATGAGTTGTTTTTCAAATTCATTAATTTTTATCTTTAATTCATCAATTTCTTTTAAAAACAATATAACTGATATATTTTCCGCGAAATAGCGAGCGTTACGATTAATGCATATTCTACCTATTATAATATTTATATTTATTATTTTTTTTATACTAAGATATTATCATAAAGAATCAAATACACATTTTTTAAATTATAATTATTGTATGCATAATATACTTTATTAAATACAAATATTCTTACGTAATATGTCAGAAAAAAAGCGATATTATATTAAATTGAAGGAGTTACCGAATTGGTTTCTACTTGGCCAAATTGGTTCCATTTAAATTTATAATGATCCCACTTTTTTATAATCAACTTGCTTCTCACTCTTTAATTACGCAAATTTCCTTTCCCAATTTTACAAGCTTAGGACTGCCAACTTCAAAATAAGCATGGTTTAAAATGTACGTTACCAATCGTATTGAAGTATAAATTAATCAGTCAATCCTTAGGTTTATAAAATAAAAATAATAAAATATAATAATTTAAAATTTAAAACTGTTGAGGTAATAGGTTAGACTTAGGCTAAACTAACTTTGTAAATTTGAAGCAAATAACTTCCTTCAATTATTTTAATCGTGTAAGAGTTTCTCATTGATGTAGTCGGTCGTAACATTTTCCAAGTATTGGTTGTTTTTCCTTGTTAGTTGGTAAGTTTCTTTCATCCTTGTATTAATACTACGAAATTTAACATAATTTAATGTCTCCATAAAATAAAATATATCAGAATGGACGCTGGTAATTTTTTTATTTAGTTTTAAATAGAACAATTCGCAATACTTTATAGTTTTATCAATATTTTTTATTGCTTAAAAATGAAAAATTTAACTATTTAACCTGAACAAAGGCGAAAATAAATTCAGTTGATCTTTTAAACTACCATTTTTTAAATGGGAACTAATTTGGTTAGTGGATAAGGCTCGAAAACCAATTCGGTACCAGCTAAAGAAACAACTGTGGGTCAGCTGACTTTCAAACCAGCATTGCAGTCTGCAAGTCCACACCTATACGAGTATATTATAAAGCCAGTTATATAGACAATACAGTATATTTGTCTTTCGTTAAAATTAATATAATCGAACTTCAAGCTAAACTAGTTTGTGTAGCGAATTCATTATTTTATTTTATAATTCGTGGAAATTAATGTTAATATTTTAATTGTTTTATAAAATCGATGCTGCTACTGTGTAATTTATAAAATTATAAAATAAAAAATACGATATCAATGTCTATACTCTATAAGACCATAACCTAACCTATTATTATAATTTATAATAATATGATATAAATATCATTGTAATAAGTATTCGGTCTTTAGAACGGTGTTATATAAATTATTGATAGGTATATAGAGGATAGGTCAACATAAAATAAACATTAAACCTACATATTTAATTGTAATTATATCAAGACGTAAAGTATACCTATTTATATACCTAATTTAAAATTTTAGTTATTCAGTATACAATTATATTTTATTCATATAATTTACCACTACTGTTTGTAATTTTGCATCTAAATGTTTTATTGTGTCATTTGAGCTTTAACCATTCACATACCGGGAAGTTAAATTTAAATAAATTCATTTCTTTCTCTTTATTTTAATTGGTAAATGGTTTTATTTTTTTACAACTACATTAAAATTATAATATTTTAACGGTAATCTGCAGAAACATGTAATGTAGTAAATTATTTTTTAAATTCTAACGTTTCTTCTTCAATATATTTTACATTTTTACTTATAGCTCATACGGTACGGCAGATTACCGATAACTGGTAAGTGGTAACTACCTATTTACATTATACAATACAACATACAACACATAACCAAATACCAGTTCAGGTATAAAAGGCGAAGATTGAATGCGTTAATTGACAATTTATAGTTTCAATTATTTAATAAATAATAGCATAAACATGCTAACTGTCTTCTTGCACTTCGTGTATCGAAAGTTCACATATGTTTTTACATTTATATTATAATATATATATATATACGTTAATAGATAGATAGCCATATTGTTAGGTATGTACATCAGGTCCATCAGCGACGTACATAGAAAAAAGTTTTTGGTGGTGTTTTTGAAAATCAGTAATTAAAAAATAAATATAGGAAATACACAATAGGTATACCTAATAGGAAATATGGCAATACACAATAGATATAATTGTATTTTATTTCTACATCCTGTTTAAGTATTTTTATTTTTTTTCAAATTATATTAAAATTATAATTTGTTAGTATTAGATTTTTATTTTGCTTTAGCCGATTTTTCACAAACATTAAAATTGAATAAGTAAATAATCATACACATAACACCAAATATTTCGGGGGATGTTTAAACACCCAAAACACTCCTCAGTGTACGTTCCTGAAGCACATTTAATATATGACATTATTATTTACATATAGTCATATAGCATTTCACACTTCCTATTTATATTATATGACTATATTCACCACTTAACATTTGACTACGATAAAATAATTACATCTAATTGTATTATCTATAATATACATTTTATATACTTAAAAGTTAAATCAGTTTAATCCGTTCTTATTGCTTATATATATATATATATATATATATATATAATATATATGTGTGTGTGTGTATAATGACTATAATGTATATGAGATATAAAAAAAATAAACTTTAGTACGTAAAAACTTAACAGAAGCAGAAAAAAATCATGAAACTATCCAAAAATTAAAATTACTTCAAAAATAATTTTTACTAACTATTGTATAGGTACCACAAATCAAAACGTAATATAAAATATTTGGGATAAAAGAAAAATATTCTTTAATATTTTTGATTTGACAAATTATAGGACATGGATACCTACCTAACAACTACAGTAAATATTGAAAGTTGATACTTGATATTGAATAGTGAAAATAGACATATTATTATATATATAATTATACATTGAACCAGCCGAATGCAAATATATCTGTACTGAAGATTTAATTAAGTCAAATCTATACTACATACAGTTTCACAAAAATAATTTTAATCCATTGGAATTATTGTTAGTCTTTATTTATTTAAAATTAATGGTTTTATAATTTAATTTATTAATAGGTACTTTATTTTTACAGATTACACCGATAAAATAGAACCAATAATCCGATGGCCATATTTAACGATCATACTGCTGCTATTCATTTGAAAATTTTGAAACAATGTGGTTTTTATCAAGTATTTGATTCTAACAGTAAAAAAATATTCGGTTGGAATATTTACAAACTTTCTTTTATCGTACTAACCGTGATAACTCAGTGTCTAATTGTTTTCGGGAATTGTGGGTTTTTATTTGAGTTGGAAGACACTATTAACAATGTTGATTTATTTCTAATCATATTCTCTGATTCATTTAATTATCTTAATCTGTGGAAAATAATCATACTTCTGTTCAACAAAAACAACGTTTTGGATCTTTTGGACGTTACATATTTAAATTTTTTTAAGAGCAAACAATGCCATAATAACGTTGAAATACTGTACAAACATCGTAACAGAGTTCTACAATATACAAAATTATACTATAATTTCTGCATTTTGGTGATCATTCTATGGGTTTTTTATCCAATAGTAATTAACTCATTCATAGCAAATTCAAATGACAATCGACGTTTAGAGAACATTATAAACAGACGATATCCCATGACTGTCAATACTTACAATCAGTATTATGTCCTGTTTTACATTATCGAAACAATAATAGCAATAAAATCATTATACTTAGTATTGATGATTGATATATTATTATTGTCTATTGGTTGGGCGATAACTGTTCAATATGAAGTATTGGCTGCAGCATTTAAGAACATCGGGCATGATGTAAACCTTCAAAAAGGTGAGACTAATTTTTTAAATTTTGACTATTATTTTATAGAAAATGAGTTTGTGGTAAAATAAAGAATAATCAATTAGACGATTAAATAAAAAGAATAAGTCAAAATCACTAAAAACTCGTCTTATATTCTAATAGATTTTTTATTTTTTACAACTAATTTAAAATAAGAAATACCTAATTTATACTTTAATAATAAAAACTTAAGTAACTTAATAAAAAAAAATGACCGAAATTGACTTATTGCCTTAATTTACCCTTATTCCTTGCTGCTTATCACACCTAATTGTACTGATAAAATGAATCACACCAGTAAAAAGTTAGCAAAAACCTTAAAATTCTATAAAACATTTTAGTATTTTATTGTATTGACAATATTATTTTCGGAGTATCCGCATCGGCTCCCATTTGTCCGCTTTGGCTTCCACTATTCATTTGAAGGTGGCCGTATCGACTCCCTTCAGATTTCAATGGTATAGACGTATCGGCTCCCAATTTACAAAATTTTTCTTCCAATTTACAGGCTGAGGACTGACTACAAATATGTTTGTCAAAAGGGCTCTTAACAAATAGTTGGCCGCAGTGACTCGCACTCACGGGCTGGGTAATAATAAAATAGTATATGTGAACTAACGCTACGCCGATCGCTCGAAACAAAAACATCAAGAAATATAATATACGCGTTAAAATTATAATAAATAATCAAATATCAACAAAGGGCGGACGTGTCCACAATTATAATGTATATATAATAATATAATATAAGAATAATAATTGATAATACTAATAATAATACGCAAACTTTTAATAATATGGTTTACGTTCATAAATGAGACGCAATATAGCCATTAAACCGGCGGAATGGTCAAATATCCGGAGCCGAAACGGACTTATTAGAACCTGTCGGGAGCCGATGCGATATCATCTATTATTGTATGTGTTAAATGTTATAGATAATACCGATTACTTATATTTTATTTTTCAGATCATGATTATAATCTTAAATATTTTAAATCGATTTTATTTGATCAACAACAACTTGATCTGTAAGTATATTTTGATAAACCTAAAATATTAACAATTAACATGAAAAAAAAAAAACCAACAACAAGAATGATGATCATACTTCACAAATTCACATAATCGATTAGTGTCTCTACTGTTTCTTCAGACCTTAGTGCCCTCTGTTTTCATAAGTTTGAGACATGATTATTACATACAACTATACAAGATTGGTGTATTTTAGACTCTAAACGGAACGATGAATGTATTAGTTCTACAACAATGGAAACCTTATGTAGAACACAAATATATACCTAATTATAGTCGATTTAGAACTTAATGGAACCTATCGGAACACATGCAACTATTTTTTGCCTTAAAATTAAAATATTTTACTGTTTGTAACTTAAATGGGTAACTCTACTTATATTTATATTTATATACTTTTATAACCTGCATCGGATAAGTTTAAAGAGAGTAAAGACATCTTAATCATATATTCATACATTTTTAATAGTTCACTATCATACATAATTTTTACACAGTTACACAAAAGTTACTATTACATGGGAAATTGGCGTTGAGTAAAATTCTATGTTTTTTGTTAATTGTTAACTATTCGTATATTTTTGAGTAATATAGGTCTATTTTCAAGTTTAAACTTTAAAGGTAAGCATTACCTTAGAATTTTCTGTATTGGTACGTTAGTTTTTACTTTTTTACGATATTTCAATTTTTAAATGTATTATGACTTATGACTGTTATAAGTAGGGCTGTGAATTTAATGCACTAAAAAACCTTAAAAAATGCATTAAAAATGCCAAAAAAATGCAATAAAGTATGCACTTAAAATACAAAATATGCACTTAAAATGCAAAAAAAAGAAATATAAAATGCTAAAAATTATAGTATAAAATTCATTTAAAATGGTTTTTAATTTAATTTTTATGTTTATATTAATGCTAGGTACAGGATATTAAAATATAGTAGTACAAAAAAGTGTTTATTTAATAAAAAAGTTTAAAAAATTGACATAATATACATATACAGCCTGTGTAAAATAAAAAAAAGTTTTCAAACAACTTAATTGACTGAATTTGGTTAAAAATACTAGAAAATGAACTAAAAAAAGCAAAATATGACCTAAATATGCGAAAAAAATGCCCTAAAAAATTAAAAACGTCAAAAATGCAAAAATATGCAAAATAAAAGTTTCATAAATGAATTCGTAATTACATAATTCAAATTATGTACTTACAAAGCTATGTTTTACATTCACCAAAAAAAAATGCACTTTTCTATAAATTCACAGCCCTGGTTATGAGTTAATGAGTACCTATAGATAATATGTAAAGTATAAAATTTTACAAATATCTATAATACACTTAAAAAAATAAAGAACATATTAACATTGCAGAGTTAATGTTTTTCCTATAAGTTTTATAATAGTTCAAAGTAAATTCAATTCCATATTATTACTTATTTGCTTCATTAAACCCAATACAAACAATATCTGGTCAGTTTAGGTAAAATCATGAGATCACACAGTAGGTAAATTATTATAAACTTAACATTTTAAATTCTAATCTTTTATTAGATACAATAGGAAAAAAAATTGTCTTAACGCAATACCTATTCACTTGAATTATATACTGTTATTTAAACATATATTTATGCTTATATAATTATGCGTTTAAAACAACTAATAAATAATTTAAAAACGTATAAAACAAATTATATATAACATAAAAATGATTTACGCTGATTAGTAATCAATAATTTGTCCTACAGGTAGGTATGGTTTACAATTTTACGTGTCAAATGTGAAACGATCATACTTAATAAAATATTATAGCTGGTTATTTATTAAGTTAAAATCATGACATCATTGACATCAACAAATAACAACAACATAATATACTAAGATTATTTTTATTTATTTTTACAGGAAATTAAAACTATATTTTTCTATCGTGAAGCCTATTGTTCTAATGCACGTTGCTATTAGTTCAGGCTTAATCATAATGTTATCGAACTCGTTCAGTATGGTAATATTTTAAAATATGCAAATTATTTTCATGAAATTCTAATGAATTGACTAATATTGTTTAACTATAATTATATTATAACTATATTGTTTTACTATAGTACCTACCTAGTACCTACTAAGTATCTAATAATTTACCAACAGGTTCTATTATCGACAGAATCATTTGCTATCACAATGGTAAATTTATTTAAAATCGGGATTGGAATTTTCTACTTATGTCTACAATTATTTCTGCATTGTCATTTATTTGATCATATTAACTCAAAGGTATTACGTACCTTTTTTACTTATAAAAAATAATAAATTCAACATTTAAAATTATCATTTTTTTTATTTTAATTAATAATTATAAACTTACATTACGCAGAGGGAATCTGTCAACCTTGGAATATATTCTTGTAATTGGACAAAGATGGATTTAGTATTTGAAAAATTATTATTATTAACCGTTCACGTAAATGATGCTAATCAGATAAAAATAAAAGCTTCAACGAAAAAAATAGTTAACTTACAACTATTTGCTAATGTAAATATTAATTTATTCTCTTACGGTTAACATAATAATATAATATGATGTATATAAGTATAATATTTGATATTAATAACAAAATAATATTCGAACTGATACTATATCGACACAATTTCAGGTTTTGATGACGTCTTACAACATTATATCCGTCATGGTAAAAACAATTAGCAAATTGAATGATACATCAGACAACAATTAATAATCAACTACTTTGTAGTTTGTACTATTAACAGTTTACATTTTTTCAATATTTATATATAAATTATTGGTGAAATTAAATTTAATAATAATTAAGTATAGTTTACCAATATTCTTATTTTTAAATAATTTAGGTAAGAAGTACCCACGTTTGATACTGTAATAATTCAATTTAGTATTATTGTAACAAATCATATCTATAGATTCTATAGTACAGAACTATAGAATATAGATAATATTTAGAACTTAAATGTTCGCAAATCAATGAAACTAGTAGTGCAGTATTTTAAATTTTTCTTAGACTCAATTTCAAAATTGTAAAATAATCTTATTTATTAAGTTAATACATTATATTATTTATATTACCATGGTATTTAAATGGTTTAAGAACAGATATTTATACATTAAGTAGGTAAACAACTTTAATTTTAAAATAAAAATCTAATTTGTTTAAAAATATTATATCACGTTTAATTTAAATTATATAATAGCTACTTTCTATTATTTTTTACGTAATGAACATTTTTAGAAATTATATATTCTTGACAAGAAGTTCCATCGCTGGATGGATTCTTCGCTCAAGTCATCAGTCCCTTTTATTTTACTTTATTTTATTGTTATTCTATTTCTATCTTATCAACACTTATGCTCCTTGTAAAAATAATATATTTACAGATTGTATAATAAAACAAATTAAAAACAAAAAAAAATAAATATATTCTTGAATTATGAAAAATAACTTTTGACATCGTTACGTATATCGATACAAACATCAATAGTATTCAATAATATTATATTAATTCGTAAGCTCAATATTATTTCGGCTTAGTCGGTCTACGATACCAACGATTTATCTCGTGTTCGTATAATTAATCAATGAATGTGTATCATCTAAAGTGTCGACTTCACTCGAAATATGTATTATAAAAGTGTTTAATAAACATTAAAATTAGTTCCAAATTAATATCAAATATTATTTATCAACAACAAAGCAAAATATTTAATGAGTATAAACAGTCCACTCAACTCTCAAGAACTAAAAGTTTCTTATAACCAGTTGGCAGTTTATTTTAATCAGAGTTACAGACATACCTATGTATCTATTTTATAATTATTTTTTAAATTTGTATACTAAATAGAGTACTGATTATCTTCTGAACTTCTAAATTATTTTAGATTTTGAGGGAAGGGATGAATTAACCATGATCTTATAATGAAATGTTTTTTGTGATTATATACGTCATGATACTTAGTTGAGATAAATGGTTTTATTTAGAAAATAAGATTTAGTTTGTACTTCTAAAAAATCAAAATTAAAAATTACCATTATTTTAAAATTAATTGAATAATAATTTAGGAAAATAGGAATTTCTATGTAAATTCAATTTTTAGTGAAATCGATTTTGGTTTTTTGGTGTAACTTGAAAACTTGATAATCTTAAGAATGTTTCCAAATATTACAATTGTAAACTGAACAGGAAAATGTCATTTTCAATTTTAAAACGAATAAAAAAGTACACATATTACCTATGTCAAAGGAAAGATTAAATGCTTTAACATTATTGACGATTAAATGCATCAACTATTTAACTAATACCATTGATTTAGATTCCTACAATGAGCAATGAATTTAGCTTACATAAAAGAAAATAATTGTTTTAAAATTCAAATAATTATAATATTTTAAATTATGTAATAATAAAATCGTAAACGTATAAAATACTTCATATTTAAAATTATTTATATTTATAGATATATAATTACAAAATGTTGTATTATTTTAATTGTCTATGCAAGCAAAATATTAAGTACCTATTGAAAAAATCTGAATTTTTTATCATTATAAAATAGGATGTTTAAAAATTTAGCCAAACTTTATTTGATCTTGCATTATACTATATGGTATATTTGTACATATATTATGTATAGTTTAATTATTTGTAAGTAACCACTGGCTGAGTGATTTATCAAATATCATTAAAATATTTAAAATCATGACTCGTGTAAAATGTACATAAATATATATAATAATATATTACTATCACAAATCCCTAAATATTAGGTACCTATTCTTACTTATATAATCAGTTGTAAAATACTTTCAAAAATTTATTATTTTCAAAAGAAAACAAGTTAAGTAAATATATTATAAATTAATAACTTTGACTAGTAATAGATATTATAATTAAATATTAATAGTAATAACATACAACAATGATTGCTTTTATTTATATAATCCAACACATAGTAAATGTATATGCATTTTTGAATGAACAATTATTAAGTTATTGATACTCTAGTTTTATATTGACTGCTTATATTTCTAAAAATGAAAGCTTATAAAGAATAATTATTGTCGTAGAATAAAGTCTGTAATATTATCATTACTGTTAATATTTTTACTATAAATTTTTGTCTATTTTCACATAATGATTAATTAAAATATACACCTTTATATGTTTTTTGGAAAACTTGGTGACTTAGTTTAATTTAATATATCATTTACTGAGTATCTAAATACTTAAAATTTAAGTATCAAGTATCTTTATCCATTTTGCCTGTATGTTTATAAAATAATTTGTAGTTTTGACGAATTCTCTTAAAAATTGAAATTTTAGTGCGACGCTTACATAAAATTAATATGACTTTACATCAATTTTATTTTAAAATTCTTGTAAGGAGAATAAAATACAAATAAGAATAGTTTTTTGAAAAAGAAAATACTTTTATAATAATTTTACAAAATACTTGATTAAGTCATTTTTATACACAATATATTAAAATGATCATACATTTGTTTTTGTTGTAAGGCATTAAACACACAAATTATTTAATTAGAAAAATAAAATAAAATTATAAATTGTCTACTCTTATTTATAAAAACTGACAATTATAACTTCTACTGTGATTATATAATGCATACATTATAAATTATAATATATAATATATACATAACATTTTAGTTAAGTTATTTAAAATGTATAAATAATAATTAATTTATCACTTTTTGCTCATTAAACTTTAGTATTACAATTTTATTTAACTAAACTAGTAGCTGATTTTTATGGTAAGTGACTATAAAAAAAGCTTCATAGTATTGATCTTTTTAAGGTCCAGGGTCAGAAAAATATAAAAATTCTTCTTTTTAATAAATTAACATTAGGTTATAACTACATCAGTATGAATTAAACTGTTATTCGGTCTTAAATCTGTATCACCCGAAGATGAGGAGGATTCTGAATATGAACGACTTCTGTTGGCTCTACGAATTTCAGACCTTGAATCATTGTTGTTTAATTTTCTCTTTTTATGTTTATTTTTTTTTGATTTTCTTTTCTTTTTGTTGTTAACATCACGAGATTTTATGCGAGCAGTTTGATAACTTCGAGCAGGAGTAAAATCTTCATCATCTGATGAAGAATCTACATAGGGCCTCCTTCTTCTTGCAAGAGATGGATAAGACATTCGAGATATACCATGAACAGATTGTATAGGAAAATTTGAATCATTTAAAGTTGGTGAGTATAATCTCCGTCTCCTTAAATTATACCTATTTATTCAATTGTAAAAATCATACAATTATACATCTTTATATGTACATGTACAATATACAAACAATTATTTACTTACCTATTACTTGGTCGATCTAATGAATGTCGAATTCCAGTAGATGTAGATGGTTGGTCTATTGAAGCAGAATTACGTGGTTCAATAGAACGAAAGGAGTGACTTAAAATTTCAACATCAGAGTCATCACCGCTAGAACTAACAACGATAACTTCCAATATTGGCAATTGAGCTTCTTCATTATCTGAATCCAATACAATTGTTTCACCGATAACTCGTCGAGAAGAATCTATCATTGGAATTGGTAATGCAAGTGGTGGTGATTCTAATGCTGCTAGTATACTTGATGCCTAAAAATATACATACATTTATTTTATAGTAATACAATAACTCATAATATATAATATTTTATTTATTTTACAGTTATTCTGGCTGGAAGTGGTGGATTTGGTAAATCTGATGATGAATAGCTAGATCGAAAGGTATATTGAACATGACGATCATAGCCAACTATGTCGTATGGACTATTAGCAAAATTATATAGTTCATGGCAAAAATGTGATGCACGCCGATCCAGAAAAGGCGTTAAGATGTTAATCATGTACAACTCTCTTATTTCATAAGCTGCAAGTGATCGCATTATCAAATTTGTCACAGAAACATCAGCACTCTCCAGGATAGGAACAGGCTCACCTTCTATTCTTGCAGTTTCCCTTATAGCAACAAGATCTCTAAGGATAAATGCATGTAATCTATATGTTTGAGCTGGATTATTTCTGAAAGAATAAAATTTTTATATTAAACATAAATTATAAAAAAGTTTGTAGGGAATGGTTTAGTGAAAAACACTTCAGAATAAGACATAGGCCAAATGGCTCATAAATTGTTGTCCAGTATTTCAGATCTTCATCGCATAACATAAAAACTAGTTAGGCAATGAAATACGGTAGGTTGACATCTCATTCTAACAGAATACTTATAAACCATATAATATATATACATATTAATTTTTAGGTTATTGATATCAATTTCATTTTTGAGTGCTAATAGTCACATCTAAATCTGTGATATTTGATGTCCACAAAAATTTAGAGTATATTATTAACCCATTAAGGCACTTTAAATATACTTAACCTAACATAAATAAATTGGTTAAATGTGTTTTTATACTAAATTATAAATTTGAAGTGTGAATGGAGCTAGATAAAAACCATACATATATATATGTTATGGGCAGTGGTCCAGCCTGGGTAATGTGAAATTGTGAACTACAAATTTTTTTTTTTTTAACTAACTAATATTATTTTTTACTTTTATTATTACCTATTAATAATAAAATGATAATATTTGTTATTATTTTTTTTTTTTTTTGCTATTATAATAACATTATAATTAACATTATTTTACAAAAAAAAAAAAAAAAATTATAGTTTATTAAAAACTATAATTTATGATAAAAGTAAAAATAATATTAGTTGGTTAAAAAAAAAAAAAATTTGTAGTTCACAATTTCACATTCCCTGTTATATATATATATATATATATATCATAAATAAAAACTTAATATTTTTACCAAATTTATTTGTAATTCTTTATTATTGTTGGTGAATTAGCTAGACATAATTTATAATTATTTATAATCGATGGGGCTATTTAAGACTTTCAGAATACACAACATATACACATCAATTCTGCGCATCTTACCATAATGGTACCAATTTCAGTGATAGGGTGTCATGTGAAGATATGCACAACTGATTTTCATTGAAACCTGGCAAATTCTTTCCCTGGATAGAGTATATATTATATATATACAGTATGTTCACACTAAGAGGTACCACTAAATATTTCAGTTCGATGACTTTGTATTGAAATAGAGTTTTAAGTGAATGATAGATAATACTTAATTACACATTCTTAGACAAATTTCAAATTTTTAAAACTTTCGATACATGCATGTGCGATACAACTTACTTTTTTTTAAATGGTAACACCAATTTTTTTTTTTACTTATTCGGATAGAGTATTTTTTTCTAAACATGTTATGTTTAAAAAATTTTTTTCTGATTACAAAATTAGCATATGAAACATAACGATGAAATTTAATATTTACGAGTAATTTGTTTTCGACAAAATTTAAACTACAATCAACTGTTTAAACCCGGGTTTATCCAACATTTACGAATCGAAGATTTTGAACGTAGATTACAATTTTAGTCATGGTTTAGTGTTCAATTTGAAACCAACAATTTATTTTATAATAGTATTTTGTGGACTGATAAATCTAAAAAATTCACTAACAATGGTATAATGAACAAACAAAACAATAGGTTTTGGGGCGATACAAATCCACACTGGTCCCGAGAAACTAACTTTCAGACAGTTAGGGGTTTAAATGTGTGGTGTGGATTAATTGGTAGAGTACTTGTAGGTCCTTATTTTTACGACAGAACACTTAAAGGTAGAAGATATCTAGATTTTCTTGTTAATCAATTACCGTTACTGTTAGAAAACATTCCATTAGCCACGCGAGAAAATATGTATTTTCAACAAGACGGTGCACCAGCACACAACGCCATCATTGTTAAACAATATTTAAATGATATTTTTCCTAACTGATGGATTGGTACCCATGGAGTAATTCCATGGCCAGCAAGATCTTCAGACTTGATCCCAATGGATTTTTTTTATGGGGGCATTTAAAAAATGTTGTATATATGGACACACCTATTAATCTCCAAGATTTAAAAAACAAAATACGACTGGCTTGTAATAATTTGAAAGAAGAACAAATAAATGCTGCCACATCAAGGGAATTTTTAATACATTTGGAATTATGTTTAGAACATCAAGGTGGAAACTTCGAACAATTCATTAGATAAAATTGTAAGACTTAATGGCAAATTATTAAATCTTTATTTCAAATTTATAGTGTGCACCTAAAATTATAGTTTTCATTACTTTTAATTAGTTACCTTATTTCAGAAGAATGAATGAAAAAAATGATAGTAAATTACGATAAAAAAAAAACAATATCTTATCTGTGTGTAAACAGATATTTAACAATATTGGATATTAATAAGTAACAATAATTTGAATTTAGTTTTAAATTTTGTCAAAAACAAATTACTCGTAAATATTAAATTTCATCGTTAAGTTTCATAAGCTAATTTTGTAATCAGAAAAAATTTTTTTTAATCATAAATTGTTTATAAAAAAATACTCTATCCGAATATGTAGAAAAAATTGGCGTTACCATTTAAAAAAAAGTAAATTGTATCGTGCATACGCGTATCAAAAGTGTTAAAAATTTGAAATTTGTCTGAGATTGTAGTTAAGTACTATCTATCATTCACTGAAAACCCCATTTCATTATAAAGTAATTGAACTGAAATATTTAGTGGTACCTCTTAGTTTGAATACTGTATATAATTTTTTATTCCAATTATTAATTATTAATAATCAATTTATCATTATGACAATAATTTTTCATTCTCACTACACAATTAATATTTTTAAGATATATAAAAAAAGGCATATTTTATTTCAACAGTAATGATTAAATGGCAATAACTGGGCACCAACACATAAGGCTGCATTCAAAATTTGACAAGGTCAAATGCCCACCTTGCCTTGTTACATTAATGTTTAACCACAAGGAAATACCAAAATATAATATATTATGAACAATCAGTGTCCAGTGAACTATTTCTAATTGATACCATAAATATTTAGAATAATCTATTCACAGCTATTATATAACTATAAAAAAAAAATTCATATTTTAAAATTATATATTTTATGTTAGTCTTCATATTTTTGTTTAATAGATGACGTTTCAAATACTTTTTCAAAATTATATAGAGATAAAATTTTTAATCCCAATTACATAATTATACGAAATCCTTTTCTTTTTTTTTCCAGATTTGAACCAATGACACTGCTTTCGCAAAACTATACAAAATCTAGATTTTGAAAAACTAACTCCAAATGTATAAATTGAATCTATATTAATACTTATTGAGTATTTTACTTACAAAAAATTATGTAACAATAAAACTAATTTTAATTAGTTTTCATTTATTATATTTTTATTTAAGTGTTGTAAATAGAAAGTGTACCAATAACAAATACCTATATTTTATACTATATAATAATTTATAATAATTTAATATAAACATCAATATGATAACAATTTTATGACTGAATTATATTTTTAAAATATTCTTCAAAAATTTAGTCACTACATAGCATTTATTCATGTTATTTTTTTTTTATTTATGAATTTGTTCACAAGTTAATATATTTTGAATTATTTATTTTAAAATAAATTATATTATAACAAGAGGATATATGTTTACAAAAATATAATGACGGATGAAGTTAAGCGTGATGAATTAAAATGTAAATATCTATTAATTAACAATAATCATTAAAAATAGGGTTTACTTAAAAAAGAATACTGATAGCATTAAACATGAAGGACAATTATTAATGGTCTAAAATTGGCAAAAATCTCTCACTAAATAACACCACTAAAATAATCCAGTTTAAATCCCCACGAGTTATTTTTTTTACATATAAACATTTTATCTATAATATTTGAAGGATATGAAATAATAAAACTATAAAATAAAAAAAGAAAATTAAGTATTTCGTATTTTACCGATAGAAAGCTGAGCTGCAATCTCTAAAACGACCACTTAAATCAGGTAAAGGTTCAGCCCATGCATTTTCAACGTATACTCGTATTCTCGTTGCTTGACCTGAAAGACAAAAGAAATGTTGAATTGTATAAACAAATAAAATTTAAAATATTAGGAAGATGCTATACCCATATATGTCGTCTCCATCTTACAAGTGTACAAACATGGCAAATTTAACGTTTACAATAATTTATTTTACTCTGTTATTTAAAAATTAGAGTAAATTGAATTCTTATAAAATTTAAAGATTATTATTAAAGGAATATTGCAGGTATTATTGAAATCTTAAACTTAAAAGCAAGTTATAAACATTTTAAAACTGCAAATTGTTTGTGCATTTCAAAATAATAATAACTTGCTTCAAAATTAAAATATTAATAAAACCTAAAACCCTTAAAGATATTCTAAATTTTTAAATTTTATGACAGGTCAACTCACTTTAATTTTAAAATTAACAGAGTAAAATTATTGATTATTGTGTGTATAATTTGCCATGTTGTATATATTTCTAAGATGAAGATGACACACAAGGACGTAGTGTCTTCTTAAAACAATTTTAATAAATACCCATGATTGGTCTTTGTAAAATTGGACGTGAAAAATCTTGATTTTGATCATAAACTTGATCATTATGATTATAGTCAAATAAATGATTAACGTTATTTATCGCTCTCTCATTTCTACGGACAATATCCATAAACAAATTCATTCTGAACATTCTAAACAAAATACAAGTTAGTAGATATAATTTATACGTATTATACGTATTTATATATAAACGTATTGGGATATTTTTAGAAATATACAATACAACATTCAACTATATACATATTATTGTGAAAATCGTATACATTAGGATAGTTAAGCAAATAATTTTGAAATATTGTATTTTGGTTTTTTAGTTAATGTTCTGATAATATATGCTATACCAAGGGTAGCTAACATGAATAGGTTTACAGGCCACATAGATAAATACAATAATACCAAGAGCCAAAATGTTATGTTTATAGACACGTTTTATATAATTTGATAATTTTTTATAATTTAATACCTAAAAAATTAAAATCCATAATAATATTAAGTAAATTTTGAATTTGTAAATAAGACATGAGCCACATGTGACTCACGAGCCGCAAGTTGGCTACCTATGTGCTATAGTCTAAAGGTAATACATTACAATAATATTAGATCAATGCATTTTGACTCTCAGTTCAATGGACTTGGAATAGAGCAATAAATGTATTGATTTTAAAATGTTCTTTTTTTTATTTTTTTATTTAATATTGTTTTATACATTATTTTGTTTTGAAAGTTCAATCAATATATAATATGTTTTTTATACTCCAGAAGTATTATTTAACATAACATGCACTTATCTACAGTTGTTTGTGAATATTGATTGTTTGATAAAACTTTGACAAATATTATAATTTATAAGTATTTAAATACATACAATCGTATTTTTTATTTTTTTCTATTTGAATTTGTTGTAATAAAACAAAATTACTTCCTAAGTTTTTGAGTAAGAGAAATTCATATTTGATTAATTATACACAATAACTAATAATACTAATTTACTTTTCCAATAATCAAGAACAACTGATATTAATCCAGATAAATTCACATTGTAGTAGTGAGCTGAACAATTTTTTGACCTGATGCAAACTACTATATGACCACCCATGCAACAATAACTTTTATACACATTTTTTGTTTTTTACATCATAGTATAAATATTATAATTAAAAACTTTTTATCACATTAAATTCATTGCCTGGTACTCATCTATTCATTTTGGTCTTGAAGCAATAGGTACAAAATAACCTGATTTGGCATGCAACTGACACATTGCATTACTCGCTCAAACATAAGAAATTTACTAAAACCCATTGATTTTTTTTTTAAGGGTAAACTCTATTAATTTGTTCCATTTTATATGCTCATTATTATTATAGTAAATAAAATATAAGCAAACTCTACGTTAATTAAGAGTACACCATTATATACATGCATAAATTTAATGATGAGTGGGAGGTGGAGCCACATAGGTACATGGAATACATGTAAGAACTCGGTATATTTACATTTACTACCTACTATAGTCTTATTCTGAATAGAGTATATGTATATTTTTATAAAAAATACATTGTTATCATTTTAAACTAATGTGAACAATATAAATTATCAATATTTTATATTCCAAATATAATATCAAATATTAGTGAAAATATGTTAATTTTTTTTACCTAATAATTATATAAAATACTTCACCTGTTTATATCGTTTGACATTTCATTGTATGGCCGCATAAATAGTCTTGGTCTAGAAAAACAAACATTGTAATACAAATATTGTAAATATAAATATAATATATTAATTTTATAAAATAATGTATTTCTTACGACGGTGCTCTGGGCAGCGAAGGAACATGATATGTTTCATGGTCACCCAGATCATCAAATGAATGATGAATAAAACTGAATGATTTCTTACATAATGGACAAGTTGGTTCAGACTAAAACATAAACATACAAAAAAAAAAAATCATTTTTATTAAGACATTGATATAAAACTTTTCAACAAGTTACTAATTAATCAAAATAAATTTTTATATTATCCGCATTAAGTTAATAAATTATAGATTTCTTTGGACTGTACTAAATAAGAACTTCAGACAACAAACATTTTTTTGAAGTTTAATTAGTAAGATTTAGAACTGGTAAAAAGATTAAAATTAACTATTAATTTTAACTATTTGTAATTACTAATAAAATATTCAATATTATAAAAATAGATGGTAACAATAATTAAAGTAAACTTCTTCGCAAAAAATATTTACTTTCATTTTTAAATTGAGACAAAAAACAGTATGTTTTCCAACACATTTTGTATAATATAATCAGTTTCTATTTAAGAAATGTTTGAGACAATAATATGATATACAAACCTTTAACAATTAATCATTATTAAGAATTTGCTAAACTTACATTTGACCATCGTTTTAAACATTCAAAACAGAATAAATGCCAACATGAATTTGAATAACATTTATTGGTTAAATCATCTAGACAAATTGAACATTGAGTATCTGGTGTTGAAGGGCGCCCAGTATTAAGAGGAACAGGAGGTCCATTCCTTAACACTGCTATCGATTCATCATCTGATGATAACTCCACAACGTCAAGTTCAGATTTTAAGAGTAGTGACATGTTGAATTATGAATTTCAATTCTAAAATTAAAAAATAAATAAAAGGTAGTTTAATTAATCAGTATTAAATAACATTAGGTATATAAAATAAATATTAAGTACATACATTATTAATATATATATAGTATATGCATTAATAATTATGTATATTAAATTAACATAATTATCAAATTATTCAGATTGGTACAATCAGGTTATCGTGATACCCAAAAATATGATTTTAGGTGCCAGGATTAACTTAGAATTTTTATGTGTAACATAAACTATATCAGGATTTGAATTGACTATCATAATATTAAATAGAGTACAGTTTTTTAAGTTAAAAATACTCAGGGCCGTACTTGATTTATTTTTTTTGTTAGATCTGATTTTTAAAAGAAAAATTTGTGAAAACTAATGGTTTTAACATCAAATATTGTTGCAATTGTACTGTTTTTTTAATGTTTTATTTTAAATTTGTGAATTTCTATCGATAAATTAATAAATAATTTTAAACTTTAACCTTTGATCGGGGTCACATAGATAATAATTATTTTTGAAGAATATCCATAACTGCCAGTGCCGATAAGACTTAAAGTAGAATTGAAATACTATTATTATTATACCAATCATAGCATATTATGTTAACAATATATGGATATGGATCTATTACTTAAGTTTTTGAAGCCCTAAACGCTGGACACATGACCCAGGTATATTCATGATATAGAATAAATTTTGATTTCACAGGAATGACAATAATGAAGTACTTTTGGATTTAAAGAATAAAGTATGTTTTATTTTAAATTTAAATTAATATAATGAGAAAAATTTAACAAATATCAACAAAACTATAATATTTATATTTAAAAACAAATTAATTAATACTTAATAAAAATTAAATGACAATAGTTTGACAATTCTGATTATAAATATTCAATATATATATTTTTTTTAAATATCATAACAGATAAAAATATTGATTTATATTCATCACAATATATAAATAATATTAAACTTATCCCACATAACCAACATTATGAGCTTTAGGGTGTTTAATGCTAAATTATTTGACTATTTTATAAGATCAGAAAATGATTTAGTATGAAGCGATAATTTAGTTTTGAAGTCTCATTAACAATGAGTACCATCTAATGCTAACTTCTATACCTAATAAATAAAAAACTCGCAACTCATAAATCTTAACAGAAACCTAATTTTATCATAATTCAATTTTATAAGGTATAGTTAAAAAATTTAACAAGACTAACATAGAATAAATTACAGGAGTATACAAAATACTAATTTGTTAATTATAATATTTATGTTTTTGTGTAATAAAACACTAATCTGAAATAGAAACATTAATACAGCACCTTTCTTCGCTTATTCAATAATCCTATACTAAATACAATAGTAATAATAACCAGAAAACCTAGAAATTATGAATTTCTAAGAAGATATTATAATGCTAAAGCCAATATAAGATTTTACTTACCATAGTAAAATTAATGGATATTCCCAAATATAATCTGTATATAATAAATAAATTATGTGTGCCTAATGCATTTTCGTTTGTTGTATATCGCTAAAATCTGCTTAGAAACGTATTTAGATATGCCAAATAAACATTAAATAACTAGTGTGATGTTTAGTTGTACAACGTAATTGCGGGCTGTTGAGAAATAATACAATCAAAGTGTAGCCAAAAGTGCGTGAATTACGTTCGGTACGCAGATCATTTTAACATTTCGACGATTGAGATCACAGAAAGATTAAACATAAAGATGTTAAATAAAAACAAAAATAATATCACTCGTTATTAGCTTATTTAATAGCTGAAATCAAAAACTTTGATCACTTGCGAGTCACGACTAAAATACGATCACTATTCACTATCAAATATCAATCATTATTCGTTATGTACTCTTTACATTTCCCACAAGAGAGGAATATACATTAACAATATAAACATGAGCATCATAAAATACGCTTAGAAAGACTCGATATGGACATATGACGTATGTACCTGCACGGGTTATACACCCAAGGTATCACCAACGATCGGTTGGGATGGTAACGATTGCGTCTTTTTTGTTAACTGAAATTACCCTTTTAAACCGTCCGCGATCGACTCAGTGTAGCCAACAATCATTACCGGTTCCCTCCTACGACCTATAGACCTTACACTCATAGACGGAGTATCCGAGCATGATGAGAGCGGGTGGCGCGGTAAAAGCAGTGATATAAATTATCTAGTACAAAATATTGTTCTAATAAAGTAGAAAATAGTAAATACATTTAAATAGATATTATAGTAGATTATATTGTAAAATTAAAATAGTAGATACTAGACAGTAGACAGCTTAGCGACAAGTATGATGAATAATGATGTGAATAATTGATGTGTATTATTTATTTAGATGAAAATTATACTATTGATAATACGGTACAAATGATACAATAATAATTATCATCACAGCATTATATCATTTATATCTAAGCACAGCCTTGTTTGCTCTACACACATGTGCAGCGCAGCCACCAATCACCATTGACCGCGGGAACTACTAACTTGCTCCGTCTATGAGTGTAAAGTACTAAAGTCTATCTTATGACTCATACTCATATACTCGTAAGTCACAAGTCACGAGTCAATTCGGAGTCATAGGCCATTGCAGTTTGAAAGCTTGACAAGTCGGCTGGTAGCTACTGCGCGCGAATCAAGCGAAGCCTATAGTTAAACTACACACTATATTATAATTTATAATAATAATAATAATAATATATCGTTGATTAAATAATAAATATTCAAACAATGACATTAAAAGTATTAAAATCAATTATAATGTTATAATATTTGTATAATTAATAATATAAATAGTATAATAATAATACTAAGAGTAGTTTACTACCTACACCTACGGTTCTATGCATAGGCGTTACAAAGTATTTACAAATTATATTCACTATAGCTGCCACATAGAGCAATGAGTGTGAGCTTTTCGCATTAAAATATTTGAATGTAGCAATGCTATAATTTATTATCGCAATATATTATATTTTTTTTTTTTTTTTTTTTTATGTTCAAAATTTATTTACCAAGACCCAGACTATAAAATATAGACAGTAAAAAAAAAAAACACAATTTTATTGATTGAAAAGTAAATTTAATTAATACTTAGTTTTTTTTTTTATTAAGACGGTTTTTAAGTCTAGTACTATTTTTTAGTGCCTACTGTTAAAAAATACATTTTAAAGTATAATATGAACGATCGAAATGATCGAATGCATTATGATTATTTATAGTCTTATTATTGTCATCTATACAAGCCTAAAAATAAGTAAATAACTTTTCATTCGTAGATGTCAATACTTTGTTTAGAAAATTTAAGCAACGATTTGGCATACTTATTACAAAGACATATTATTCTTGTTTCTCCATTTTTGTCACAATTTTTATGATATGTTGTTGATTATAATTGATACCTAGGTATCTAAAATCCTCTGAAATCAAAATGCTTTTTGATAAATTACAATTAAAATTATTACAGGTAAATAACCACTGTCACATAGATCCCAAAGTGTGCATTTAAATTTATTTGGAGTAAATTATGTATCACAATGTAGTAACTCGTAACGTCGTAACTGCGGGTCCTGGTGCAAAATAAGTTTTTACATGAAAGAGTTTTCTTTCTAATAATTACTGAACTATAGGTTCATAAAACTATAAAGGTTATTGGTACATAGTTCGGTTAATATTAAAATCCATTATACAGTGTGTAAACGCTAACTGAGAACACTCAATACATTTACGACGAGTCTTGCGATTTGAATACTGTCTTTTGATCGGTTTTTATGACATAAAAATACACATTTTTATGGCCTTTGAATATTTTTAACTTAATTAGCCATGCGCATGCGCAGTACAACTTTTTTTTTTAAACAGTAACCACCTATTTTAATCATTAATTATTTTTTGCCTAATTTTTTTAATGAATTTAGGTAGTTAAACTAACTTTCTAAGTCTAAAATTGACCAAGTTATAGCAATTTAACCAAAAAACTACAAAATTCACGCGATTTACAGTTATTTTACTTATAACTCCAAAAATAATTATTCTAGGATTGTTTAAGTTTGATATTTTAATCCCTAATTATTAAATTGATAGTGTAAAAGATTTTTTTTAATAGTTTTTAAATTGGGCATCGGCAAATTTAATTTAATATTTATGAATAATTTATTTTCGAGGAAATTTTAACTATGTTCATCATATAGTGGAAAATTGAAATATCTCCGATATTGTTAAGAAGCCGTTCTAGTAACAAAATTAAACCATAAAAACATGCTTATGTATTTCCAATTTTACTCAGCTATTGTTAGTCGTAGAAAAAAATCATGTTACTAAAACTAACAACTGCTGGGGAAAACTGTAAGTACGATACTACAATAACATGTTTTTAAGGTCAAATTTAGTTATCAAAACAGTCTCTTACTAGTAGATTTTTCGAATATTACGAATGTTCTCTAAAAAAAGATTCATCCAGTATATTTTTAAGTAGTTAATATAAAATATTGATCTTAAGGATTATTAGAATAAAATGGGTACATCATAATGTTATATATAATACATATTTATTGATAAATTTTATTTGAGTAATCTATTAAAATGCAGGAGTAATATAAAAATTATTTTTAAACTAATAATTAAATAAATTTTGATAACAATTAGTATAACATTCTTAGTTAGTATAATATGAATTAATAATGATAACATAACATAATTTAGGTACACATCACAACAAAAATAGTAAGGAAACTACAAGAAATTCTTTTGACATCTGCAGTGTTTATAAAATGAATAATTCTATCAACATTGAATGCATTAAGTCTTAAGTGATTACTCTTGTTACAGAATTTCTCGAGATCCATTCAAAAACAAAAATTTATACATACATATATATTTATATAATCATGTATTGGGACATTTGGTAAACAAAATATGGTCAACACAATATCAAATAGTTACATTTAACCAAAAATAGTACATATTTAAAAGAATAAAATAATATGGTCACACTATGGAATAAATAATCTATCTAGTGTTCCATTACTCTGAACACCAGTTCCAATATAACTGATGACTGTTGGGCTTTAACTGCTATTGCATTCACCACTGGGACAAGATGTTCGTCCAGACTTTGCATATACAAAGGAGGAAGTTTACTTTGTCCACTTCCAGCTTCATATCCTACCTGTAATATTTGGGCAATAACATAAATTTAAAATTTAACTTAATATTTACAACTAATAATTAATATATTACAGTAACATTATATACTCTAGAAGTCTAGAAAATCTTAATTTAATACTGTTTAATTTCAATATTATTTCTATACTTGAAATTATAGTTTAAAATTTATTTACTGAATCTGGATTGATGACAATGCGTAAGGCCAGTGGAGTCAATGAAGCTGCAGATAACAAATCTAAAAGTGGAACCAAAGCAGTACACGTTGCCTTAGATACGGATTCAGCTGTTCTACTAGTGTCCAAAGGTTCATCAACACGATCAGACGTTTCTTCACACTATATTAAAATAAAATAAACTTATTTGTTAACTATTTTATAATTAATTTAGTGATAAGAAATTATTAAGGATAAAATTAAAAGTTTTTGGTATACTATTTTATAAGTTGAGAAAATATTAAAAATGAAAATATATAAAATTCTTTTCTAATTTTTTGACCAGTCTTAGCCGTTTTAAGGTAAATTAAAGGTATTAATAATCATACATCATAAAAATTAACATACTTGTATAACAAATACTTCAGTCCATCTAATAAAACGTCTTTTTCCCGAATAATCAACACCATTATGCACTCTAATTGAGTATACACCATCTAATGATCTGCCATCAATGCAACTTTTAACTCTAAACAATTAATAAAATATTTTTATGATATTATAAATTATTCAATTTGTCATTTGATTCTCACCCAATGTTGAAATTGACATCATCTTCTGTCCAGTGAAATATCACTGTTTGCTCATCATTTGTTCCACAATTTAGTTCAAAGTCTTTCATTAAACGAAGAGCATCACGCAATAATGCCATTTTTTGAGATGACATTTCAACCATGACACCATCTTCCACTATGCGCCACCTGGTACTAGCTTCATCTTCTAAATCACCATTCAACGCAATAAAACTGGCACCCGTTACTAAATAAACCATTATTTAGATAAGTTAATACAATTAATATTATATAAATCAATTAAATTACTTTGTCTAGGTTTATTATGAATATTAATTGCTTGTGTATTGTAGTTTCCATCATCTTTAGTTGATTGAACACATACTAGATGAGAATCTGCAACTGCACTGAAGTTAGCACCAAATGCTAAAAGGCCACGGTTTGAAGCCAACACTAATCTTGAAACCTGAAAATGAACATATTTTATAAGTTAAACTAAATTACAGTAATATAATTTAATAAATTTGTGCTTAATATAATTACTTGATCATATCTATTTCGAGGTAATAGCACCATAATTTGTTTTTCGTCCATATGTATATAGCAGCCTTTAACGGTTGGTAAACCATAAGAATATTGTCTAAAATCCTTTAAATAATATATTATACATATATTTTTATTAATTAATATTTATTGAACATAATATAATTTATTTTTTTAAATATATACAATTTAAAATGTTTTAAGTGAAAAACAATAACTTACTACTAATAGCTTAATAACTGTTTGACCAATTTCTGTATATAAAGAAGGCCGATTTCTAATGGATACTAACATACATGGATAATAACGATATTCTGCTCCTAGTCGTAGCATTAACCGAATTGGGAACATTTTAGCCCAAGGAGTTTCATACCTAAAAAATAAACAAATGTGATTATAGAACCCAAAGTTACCTTATTGATTAAATTTCAGTTCACAGCTACGTTATTTGTCATATTGTATACCTATTATTGTATTCAGATTGGT